GTTCTGTCTGGTAGTGTGACATCAATTCCTCAAGAAGGGATAAAAGAAGAATCTGCATAAGCAATTCAAGTTAAGAAGTTGTTTCTAACAGTGAGCCAGGGGTGATGGTGGGAGGTACGCAAGATGTTTGCCTTCAAGAAACTTCTCAACTAGTTCATCATGGGCAATTCGTTTAATGTCTCATTTGCTATGCTGTGAACACAGGGCCCACAAGTGTGAATATGTTATGCATCATCCCTTTTGGAAAAGCAATGCATCACCATAGAGAAATGAGATCTTTGTAGGGAGAGTAATAAAGTAAAATATTTCAGCTACAGTGTGTATAATAGCCTCTTGTTAGACAAAGGACTTTAGGTGTCATAAATTTTAGATTATGGCAGTTTCTGTAAGGAAGCTGAAAAGTACTCTTGATGAATAAATATGTTTCCTAAGACATCTGTCTGCATAATTATACAGATTTGAAATCTCAGCATCCTACACAATAATGACACATTAAACAGATGAAATTGTAAATGGGAAAAAGTGTTCACATTCTTCATTACAGAGTTATACTTAGATATGCCATTTCAACTGGAAAACATAGCTAAATGTTAAGCATGTCTTCTCTCTCCACATTTATTGCTAAAACAACCAATGTGGGACTTGTCAGCTTAAACTACATATTGTGTCCACGTGAGCACTACAAAAGAAAAGGATGCTATTGCTGGAGTTCTTTTTCAATAGGCATGGAGTTTTACAAAGGCTACTCATTGATGCAAAGACTGTGAACACAACAAATAAAATCCAAATACAGTCTCCGCACTCCCATCCAAATACAACACTTTATTTTGAGCAAGGACATTTTGGTTTACAATAACATATGCAAAAGGTTTAAGTGCAACCTATGTAGAGTCAACCAATCCACTCAAATGAGAAATATTTCTTTTTGTACTTATTTGTAAAGAATTCTGCATAAATCAAATTCCTTTGGCAAACACCTGTTACGTAAAAGATCCAGGCCTAAGTGTTGTTGGGAATGCAAAAATAAATAAAAATGGTCCCACCTTTCAAAAAGCTTACAGTCTGACATAGGAGACATTATATACACAAGTAACTATAGTATCAGGGATAAAGCAAAATTTGCTTGAAAAAAAGACACCCACCAAGGACAAACGGAAATGAGAGAAGACTTCATACAGGAATGACATTAGTTTCAGATCCTGAAGGATGAGGGGAGAGGAAGGTGACAAAATGACAAAACAGCAGGAAGAAGAGCAGTTGGAGCAGCATGGAAGTGGAGAACATGGTAAGGAGCACGGAGCAGCTCAGTAGGAGACCCTATAGGAGGGAAGAAACTAATTCAAGAAAAGTAACTGGTCTCAAATAAGAAAGCCTGGACTCACTGTAGGATAAGAAATAAATATTGATTAGAAAATTTAACCCAGAAAGACCTAGAGGGCACATAAGCAATACAGCCCATTTGCACAAACATATTGATTATATAAACGCTAGTGCCCCAGTGCACAGATTCGTGCACAATGAAAGGAAATTAATTAGAAGGTGGCCGGCAGGGCTGAACTGGGCGAGATGGGCCTGACACGCCCTGGAGCCAACCTTCCTTGGTCCCTTCCTGGCCAGCCGCACCTGGGCCGGCGCCACGGCTCAAAGGTTGTCTATGGAGTGAGCGGGGTCCCTCTGGCAGATGGGGTCCCTTGGCCTGGCCTGTGGGGATCCAGCTAAAACTGGCTCTCCGACATCCCCCAAGGGGTCCCGGATTGCAAGAGGGTGGTTCTCAGGTGACACACCCTAGAATCGGGTTCCTTTCTCTCTGGTTTCGGGTGTGTCACCTGAGAACTGCAGCTGCCAAGTCACCACAGCTTGGCAGCTCCTGTGTTGAGTGTCTGCCTCCTGGTGGTCAGTGCACATCAAGCTACCAGTTGGATGGTCAGACGGTCGCTTAGCCTTTTACATATATAGATACTACCCATTAGCATTGCTTATGTATAAATGGGTAAATATGAGTAGGCTTCATTCAGGGAATTAATTTATCATCTTTCTTCTAAGGACTGAGAGCATCAAGTGGATTTAAAGTGATGCCAAAAAACCCTGAATGAAATGTATCCCAAACTATATTTCTTGGGCACAATCAAGACACATTCATCCTTGCCATACAACTGAAGGTAGAAGAGAAACTAATTTGTAAGTTAAAACAAAGAAAGGGAGAAGTGTAGCTCTACTTTATGGTTTTAAATTGTCGTCTGGGTTTAATGAAAAACAGAGTAAAAATTATGCAGATAATAGGCCAACTAGTAGCTGAACAATTCGAGAGACAGGGAAAATGGAAATGCTTCATAGTTTGGCCATCAGGTGGCACTAGTTACTCATTATAGAAAACAACAGGTACTAAAGGGGTGAGCTAGAAAAGCAGTTAGGAACAGATTACTCCTTCATTTACTCAGAAAGGAGAAAGTGGAGTGGACTGTTTCAGAAGCACAAGGAATAAAGAGGGTCTTGGCTTGCTGACACAGCCTATCCATTATATCTTCAATTTGAGCTCACCTATTAGATTTATTAGGGAAAACACACACATTTCCCTAACAAATATGATGTTTGTTGCTTTTGTAAATGTTCTCGGGTCCTTTTTGTCTGTATTTATCCTGTGAGAGCATGAGATCAGTGCTAGAATGAAGCAAAAAGGAAACAAATCCCAACTTCACTATTTAAAGATGTGTGACTTGATTCAAGTTATTTAACTTCTTTGAACTGTACTTCCCTCTGTTGTTATAATTGATGAAATTAGCTGGAATGTGGTGAGGATTTTATAAGACACCATCCGTTGGAATGACAGCTCTGGACCTAGCTACTTCATTTTCTCCCAGAGGACGGGTCCAATCATTGGAATACCTCTTTTATCGGAATAGTGTTCTAAGTCCCTGTGGCTCTTCTCTAACTAGGGCGTCCTGTGGGTGGTGCTCTTAGAAGTTAGACTGAGTCACTCTTCACACCAGTGGAGGATATGAGGGGTGGAGAAGAAGCTGTAGCTGATTTCTCATACTAGTACCGTAATGCTACCTTGCCATTATTCGATCCCTCCTGGTTGTCAGTGACAAAAGTCCAGAACCACAGAATCTAAGATCCAGAACGGTATTTGATTTATATAGTCAACTGTCCAATTTTTAGATCAGGATACCTTCTGCCATGAAAGTTGAAGCACAAGAGAGTAAGAAGTGGGGTGTGCAAATTTAGGTCATTTTTATACTTGCTTCATAGGTCTGGTCAATGGATAAGTAGGCATTTGTAATCAGAAGCAGGATGAGAGAGCAGGAGGTGGGCAAACGATAATTACCTGGCATGCCTCTAATTATTTCCTAATATTGAGATGCTAGGCTTATTTTCACAAAATGGGGCAAAGGGAATGGCGAGCAATCTATATCCTTTGAACTGGTGGAAGTAGGTTTCTATTTGAGTGCTGCTAAACATCTTTGTTTATATTTGAAACAGACTGAGTCGGCAAACCTGGCTCAACTTTTTATGAAAAAGTCAACTACCGAGAAAGAAAGAAAAAACAGAATGGATGGCCCAAATCTGTTACTCCACCAGCGACCATCAATGGTCACTAATGAATAAAACATCCAATCCTAACAAACAGAAAGGCAGTTAAGACTTCATGATGGGCACTGGTACTTGCAAGGGCCAGCTCTGGCCTTTACCTTATAGGGATAAAACAACAACAAAGATCAAATCAATTCAGGTTGTGCTGACTGCCTCCACAGAGCTACCAGGAGTGGTAAACAAAATAAGAAACCGAACAAATTAAGACATTCCACAGTGGAAAGATATGACTCCACCTAATTATTTATGAAAATAAGCACAGGCTGTGATACCCTTCTTTACTTCTGACCTATTATAAAACCCAGGACTAGAGGCTCTAAATCTGTAGAAATTTGAGCTGCTTTTAGGGTGATAGGGAATGCATAGGAGAATGTATTCCCAAAGTGACTATCAGTATTTTCCCCCAAAGAAACCCTGAGACTCCAGGCTATAAAGGAGGGTCAGATTTCTTTGGCTGTGATATGCAAATCAGGTTTCAGATGGCAGCTGATTTGCATGGCAGATCCCTAGCAAGGGGAGAGCCCAGGAAAGAAAACAGAAACCGGGGTAAAAAAGAAGGCTTACCTTCTAAGAGCCCAGGAATACACATAATAATAAGGCATTAAGTCTAGGGGGTCTTACCTCCCTCTCTGCAAAAGACTTTTCGATTTGAATGAGCAGTTTATGTCCTGACACGTAGAGAGGGGTCACACATTTGGACATAGGCGGCTGACCTTCTCAAGTGCTATTTGAAGAAGTTGACATGCTATACTATTAAAAATTATTGAATTTAGGTGCCAAATCCATAAAGGAAACAGAGATCTAATGACTTTATTAGAGCAGAGATTAAAACAATATTTCTGCAAATTTTCCTTCACTTGAAATTGTCATGGTTACCTACATTTACTCATAGTAATGTTTTATTCATTAAATTTTCTTAACAATTAAATATGATTCTGAGTTTCTGTATTAACAGGCTAATATTTCTTTAAAAGAACAACTCTTTGCCTAAAAATTCTGCCTTTAAGGAACAAGCTTAATAAATTTAAAAGGGCCTAACCTTTGGAGTCACACAGACTGGTGTCCCAGTCTCAACCACTTGACCTTTGACATTCGGGGTGACCTCTATGAGGCTCTGCGTGCATTCCTAGAATGGAAATAAGCTCCCCATTCCTCTCACCACTGCTGTGCAGTTGGACTCAGATAACACATTCCAGTATTTTTTAAGAACTCTCCTCCCTGTCTGGCCCCCGGGAGCCGTTGTGGCTCACCTCTAGAACAGTCCTTAGGTCCAAAATTGGGAGGAGGCAACAAAAGAGGATGGAAAAAAGAGGCTGAATGTTTAACCTGGGTAAACCATTAGTCATTTGCACACATGAAACCAACAGCTCAAGTGTCAGGGTGGATTTTGAAAAGAATGAACTGCTTACCTCCAGCTGCTGTTCTGCCAGTTGATCCTGATACCTTCGGACTGACTCCTGAAGTCGCTTCTCTTTCTCATTTTTTGATAGTGATACTGTGCTCATGGTGCCCAGGGGGATGGGAGGTAAGCGTTCTGCCTGATGACAACTTCACAATCAACAAGTACAAGAGATATATAATAACATCAGGAGGAAACATAAAACTATTTGCCGTCTGTAAAGGATTATTTACTTCTACAAGCATAATAAGTCTTTATGTCTTATTTCCAAAATTTGAATATAAGGGAAGAGCATTGTATTGATGACTTTAGGAAATACAAGACCTTAAATCATGAAAAAAGAGCTTAAGGGGGGGGGGGGGGACAGCTAAATGGAAAAAAAGTAAAAGGTAGTATATATTTACCAGAATGAGAAAGCTCTTCATTACTAGTATTTATTAATGCTTCATTTATCTCCCATTATCAGGAAATGAGGCCTTTTGCAAAAATGTTTTTAGATAATTAAATCTTATCTTATTATTATTAAACATTCCCCTCCCCTCAAAAAAACATATTAGGGATAGAAATCCATCTGTCTGTCTACAATACACCAAACAGTTCTGCTTCTGAAACACACGGATCCTCTGCATGCTGGTCCGGGATCACTGTGAAGGACCTTGATGTGACGCTCTAACTGACAGCCTCGGGGGAGTGGCAGAGTCCTTCACCAAATAACCCCCCAGTAACACCCCCTGCTGCAGCGTCCTTCTCTCCTGCTGCTCTCTGTGTATCTGCTTCTGGTGATCACTCTGCTTCCCAACCTCTAACCACCAGTGTGTCAACACATGTATATCATCAAGCAGAACTGTGTCTAAATGACAATAAACAGGCTGTGAATGAGGGTTTCCCCTGCTATGGCTACGAAAAGTGCTAATGACTTTTGGGACATATGATTTGAAAGGTTTGAGGCCTTTTCCCCTACTCTTGGTTTTGTGGCTCTGTGCTGGGAGCTGAGTTAGCCAAACTGTTGAAAACCTGAGAGATTATATTGTTCACCCTGGAATCGAGGCTTGGCAAGGATAAGAGGTTCAACTCCCACTGGGCATGGCTTTGTTCATGGCTGGGGATGTGCGGTTAAGGTCAAAATGTTAAGGTCAATTCTTAAAGCCTGCTTTACATAGGTAATAGAAAAAGGAGAGGGAAGGGACAAAATACATGTGTATTAGGCTAGGAGAGGGAGGAGGAGGAGGAGGAGGTTGGGAATAGAGAGACCTTCTCTCATCTGAAACAGTGCATAAGCACTTCTGTCTGATCTGAAGCAGATCAAACCCACAATTTCTTTGCTTTGTGGAGCTGCAGCTTATATATATCTTATACCTACCAACAGAGAACTACAAGCAAATTCAAGTACTACTGTGAAAGAACTTCACACACTTAATTCCAACCACATGTGGTATTTGTTGTTATTGAAATGAGGGGACACCTACTATATATATAGCCACCCGTGGTGTTGAGATGAAGACACCTGTGAGGCAGTACCTATAAGGTTCCTATTTCATGGGAGAAAAGAACCTTGCGGCAGCATTAAGTTTTTATTCAAAAAAAGAGAAACCCCAAGTATTTTATGAAAGTGCTATCCATCCAAATGTCTTCAAAAAAATTTTTTTTCTTAAAAAGTTAAATTTTGGGGGAAAAAAGTTAAATTTTAATACACAATTCCATATGTTTAGCGAAGCATGGACTTAAAAAGAAATTATAAGTATAAAAGAACTTTCTGCATTTTAGGCATCAGTTTTCTGTCAACATGGCTAAATTTATCTTGCCTGTCGTCACAAATGGACTATTCTGATGTGCAAAAGAGACAGAATTAGTGCAGCTTTGAAACAGTGCTCTCTGATGGCATCACCACTTTTCAAGGAGAAAAGGGTAAGAGTATAAGTAATGATAATTTGGCAATAAAGAAACTGTAGAGGGTAGTCTCCGAGTTCTATGGGTATGACCATGACTAAAACTGATCTACGAAATCAAGGTACTTGGTTAGTTCTGTAGAGAGGGGCCAAAATTCTCCAGGGACATGGCAGATTGACTTTACAAGGGGTTCAGCTAGACCCAGAAAAGATGCAAAAGATACTATTATTACACCCACTCTAGGTGATGGGAAGCTGAGTTAAAAAGAGATTGGACCCCAGCTGGTGTAGCTCAGCGGACTGAGCTTGGTCCCATGCACCAAGAGGTCACCAGTTCAATTCTTGGTCAGGGTATATGCCCGGGTTGCAGACTCGATCCCCAGGAGAGGGTGTGTAGGAGGCAGTTGATCCATGTTTCCATCTCTCCCTCTCTCTCCCTTCCTCTCTCTCTAAAATCAATTAAAACGTATTAAAAAATGAGAGAGAGAGAGAGAGAGAGAGAGAGAGAGAGAGAGAGAGAGAGAGAGAGATTGGACATTTGTCCAAGGTTTTTCACAGCTAACAGAGCTAGGAGTCAAACCCAGGCAGTCTGGTCCAGGGTCTGAACTCTAAAACACTATCCTATGCTGTACAAAAAGTTCTTAGCTCACAATAAGTGATCAATGTTATTAACTATTCTTTTGGTTTTTTTGTTGTTGCTGTTTTTTGTTTTTTTTTGAGGGTTAGGGGCTTCGGTCAATTTTATTTACATTTTCAAGCACAGGTCTTTCAACACAGAAATTTAAAAACAACAGTAGCAACAAACTTCTATTAACACTTTGATAAAAATAATGATACTGGTTATGAAAACACTACATATCAGACTATTAATACTGAAAGTAAGCCAACACTTTATTCCTATTTGGGAGATATTTAAGTTCCAGGTTAGGGCTGAAATCAGGTTAGGAATCAAAAGACCTTGGCTAATGGCTTCATGAACAGGTTTCTGAGGCCCATGTGGGCTTCACTTTTCACTTCTCTACAATGAAGACGTGAGATAGCTCAGCGTTTCATAAGCGCACGCCTGGAGCTCTAGGCTCTTTGCCGACAGTAGGGAACGGAAGTGGGAAGTGGATGGGTACCTTTGGCCTCCACATTCCCAACCTTCAATTCAAAGCAGGACAATTCTGCATTTATCTAGTTCATACATTTAGGGTCTAAGCAAATTTTATTTGAGGGAAAACAAAACAAAACAGATTCTGCTGCAAACCAAGAAAGGGAACCTAGGAAGCCCTGGGTTGTGTGAAATCTAAGAGCCCTGTCTGTCATCTGACTTATTTTCATAGTTTCTAAATATGATTAACCTGGGGACTCCAGGTGGGGTTGTAGTAGCAGTTTCTGAATGTTTTCTTCTTTAAAAAATTTTTATTTGTTCTTTATTTTTTCTAGACTGGATAAAAGTAATCCAACAAGAGCTATTACACTATTGTCTGTATTAGCAATATTGATTTACTTATCCAGACCAAAGGACTTACAGCAAACTCCATGGAAAAACAATGCTTGTCTTAAGAGTGACTTTATTAAAGGGGTATACTAACTCTTCTGCCTCCCCCAAGAAAAAGAATGTAAGTTTAAAAGGACTTGTAATAACACTGGCATTCATCAATATTTAATTGGTCTTTTTCCTGCCTTTGTCTGAACTTCTTCCTCTAAGAGCACAAAGCAATGAAATCAATATATGACTTAAATAGAAAATGCACGTGGTCTAACAGTTTAGTGCTCCTGGAGACACCACCTGGATAAAACTCCTGTATTTTAAGGTGCTATGTTGTGTGAAAACGAACTAAAAGGCAGATCTCTTAAATATGAGTGGTAGTCCCCCTCGCCCCAGTGAAAGCATAGAGCTGCACGCCCCAATGTTTACAAAGCATTACATCCAGGTCTCTTTTATCTTGATGGAAAAGCACACTAATCAACTATCTTTCCACAACTGGCCAGGTGCTAGAAAGAGTTCTCGGGGATGACAGAGACTAAGCTGAAATGTACCTATAGCTGACATTTTCCAGTTTCATACATATGTATTTCAGGAATTCAAAAATGGATAAAACTTTTAGAAAACCATCAAACACTACCTGTTTTCTGAGAGGTTAGGATTATTAGCACAAATCCAGGCGTCCAAAAGTTCTTTTTCCTGATAATCAGTAGAGGGAGGCAAGACTCTCCATTTAAGGCAAAGATCTGATCATCAAAACAAAATCACACACAAGAAAGACCACAGTCAGAAGTGAATCCTTCATAGTAAGACGTCAGGTTGTATAAACCAAAAGTATGAGGTATTTTTCCAGCCACAGGCAAGTGAATCCTTGATCATATACCATTACACTTGATGGCACAACTAGTCTAGGATTCTATGAGCTACCCTTGGATACTCCTAATAAATAATAATAATAATAATAATTATTATTATTATTATTATTATTATTATTATTGCTTAAGTTCTTTCCAATTGGTTTTTGCTACTTTCAGCCAAAATTATTTAGGTAATTGATCTCTCTCTCTTCTTAAACCACATGAAAACTTCCAGTGACTTCCCTTTCCCATTTTCGTTGCTTTCCTTGTCCATTTCTCCCTTGCAGTCCCTCCTTGCTTTTAGGACCACAACACTCCATATTTTCCAGACAATTCTTAACTTTAATCTTGAACTCCTCCCAGACACACTGCTAATGCCTCTTTGGTAAACACTTCTCTCTGTTCATCTTCGATGGAGGCAGTTTGCACAGTGGGTAAGAATCTGAACTGCTCCACCAGTTACTATGTCTATGATCTTGAACAAATTATGTCTCTATGTTTCAGTATCATCATCTGTAAGAAGAAATTCTATTGTACTTACCTAAAAGGTTTCTGAGGGTTAACATACATAGTAATAATGATAAAAGCCAGCATTGCTAAACATTATCTGTGCTGGTTAATTTCATGTCAATTTGACTGGGCCATGAGTTGCTTGGTCAAATAATTCTGAATGTGTCTGTGTAAGGGTGTTTTGAATGAGATTAACATTTGAATTGATAGACTGAGTAAAGAAGATTGTCCTCCCTAATGTGGGGTGGGCCTCATCCAATCAGTTGAAGGCCTAAATAAAACAAAAAATGGCTGACCCCCTGGAGAGTAAAAAGGAACTTCTCTTTCCTGACTGTCTAGAGCTGGGACACAAGCTTTTTCCTGCCTTCAGACTCAAATTAAAACATAAGCTCGTTCTTTCTGGGTATTGAGCCTGTCAACATTTACACTGGAATTATATCATTGGGTATCTTGGTTCTCAGACCTTCAGACTTCAACTGGAATTAAACCAATGGCTCTCCTGGGTCTCCAGCTTGCTGAATAAAGACCTTAGACTTGTTAGTCTCCATAATCATGTAAGCCAATTCTCAATAATTAATATCTATCTATCTATCTATCTATCTATCTATCTATCTATCTATCTTATATATATTTTTTCAGCAGCCAGACAGCCATTCTATTGGTTCTGTTTCTCTGGAGAACCCTGTTACACTATCCTATGCACTTAGTAAACTTTACATACGCTAATACATTTTATTTGCACAGAACTGTCTGATGTAGCTATAAATACTAACCTCATGTTATGAAAAAGGAAGCTGAGGCTTAGAGAAATTAAGGAATTTGCCTCATTTCATAGCTCCATAATACTAAAGATTGGATTCTGGCAGCGCCTTGCACATATTAGACCAGTCAGGTGCTTAACCCAAGGCTCAAGGTTAGGGAGGTGTTCGGTTGGCTCTGTGTAACTAACCACACAGTCTTACAGGCTATGGTGTACTTTGTTTGTTTGCTTGGCTCCCTCACTGGACAGCAGACTCCTTGCAGATAACAGAGTGTCTTTAATTCTCTAACCCTAGGAATAGTGGCTAGAAGATACACCAGAGGAACACAATAAGTGCTCAGTGCTTCGATGATGTTATTCTCCAATCAAATAATGTCCAATGCCTCTCCATTGCTTATCAAAGTAAAAACTCCTTATCTTGGCATTCGAGACCCTCTAACATGTTTATTTAATCTGATATTTTTGTTTTTTATTATTTAGCCATCATTCATGTATTCAGTAGTCAATTATTAAGTACCAACTATATATTTAGCATGGTACTAGGTATTAAAAACAGAAAGATGTCTGTTTCAAAAGGAAGATAAACATCCAATCAAAAGATGGGCAAAGGACCTAAATAGTAATTTTTTGAAACTGGACATACAGAAGGCCAAGAGACTTATGAAAACATGCTCAAAGTCACTAATCATCAGAGAGATGCTAATCAAAACAACAATGAGGTAGCATCTCACACCTGTCAGAATGGCTATCATTAACAAATTAACAACGACAAGTGCTGCAGAGGATGCAGAGAAAAAGGAACCCTCTTGCACTGCTGGTGGGAATGCAGACTGGTGCAGCCTCTATGGTAAACAGTATGGAGTTTCCTCAAAAAGTTAAAAATGGAACTCCCATTTGACCCAGTGATCCCATTTCTAGGAATATGTCCCAAGAAACCAGAAACACCAATCAGAAAGGATATATGCATCCCTACATTCATAGCAGCACAATTTACCATAGCTAAGATTTGGAAACAGTTTAAGTGTCCATCAGCAGATGAGTGGATTAGAAGACTGTGGTACATCTATACAATGGGATACTATGCTGCTGTAAAAAATAAAGAACTCTTACCATTCACAACAGCATGGAGAGACATGGAGAGCATTATGCTAAGCAAAAAAAACTAGTTGGAGAAAGATAAATATCACATGATCTCACTCATTTGTGGAATATAATGAACAACAAAACTGATGAACAAAAATAGATCCAGAGACATAGAAGCATCGAACAAACCGGAAGGCAGGGAAGGGTGGTGGGGTGATGGTGGTGGTAAGAGAGCAACCAAAGGACTTGTATGCATACATATAAGCATAACCCATGGACACAGACAGTAAGGAGGTGAGGGCATGTGCTGGGGTGGGGTGGGGAGGGAATGGCTGGGAAAAGGTCAATGGGGAAAAAGAAGACATATGTAATACTTTTAAGCAATAAAGAATTAAAAAAAAAGAAAGATAACTGTTTATACCATTCTACCCCTAAATTTTTAGCTGAATGTATATCTGATATTAACACATATCTCCTGATACATCTCTGCCTATCAAAATTCTATTTTAAAGATCATGGCAAAAGCTACCTCTGTCATGAAGCCTTGCTTCAACTTTCTCCTTTTTTGAACCCTCAAAGAACTCTGTGCCTCTTTACATCATCTTTTACATCTGAATTTCATCTCTATAATTTCATGCTTATCTTAACCTTTCTCCTAGACTCTAACCTCACTGCATGTAAAAATCAGGTTTTGCCCACCACCTTTGTCTCCTTCAGGCACCATTTACTGGCACAATGACTTGCATATTTAAAAACTCACTAAATGACTGCTAATTTGAATGGAATTCAACACTCACCACACTGAATGATGAATGGGATGGCCATGGCTTGTCTTCTTTGATACTGAATAGACTCTAAAGACCTCTCTGTGTCCTTGTTATTCTGGTATCCAAATTCATTCCAAAACAATGTAAGGTTTCTATTACCTAAAAAAAAAAATAAAAACAGGAAAAAATAAAAGAAAATCAACAAGATTAAGATGATAAGCAAAGGAAAGTTTAGATATAAACACATGTATGTACAATATGATCTCAGCTATGTAAAAATAAATACACAGAAATAAGATGTGAAAGTATTATTGTTGGTTTTCTCTGAGTATGGATGAAATTTGTTTTCTGATTTATACTTTCTTACATTTTCCAACCTGTATATAATAAATATGTAATATCTTTATAATAAAACCAAATACAACAGCAGTATATACATGTAGTATATACATAAATATATATATACTAGAGGCCCGGTGCACAAAAATATGTGCACTTGGGGGGGGAGGGGTGTCCCTCAGCCCGGCATGTGCCCTCTCGCAGTCTGGGACCCCTTGGGAGATAATGACCTGCTGGCTTAGGCCTGCTCTCAGGTGGCAGAGAGCAGGCCCAATCCCTAGGTGCAGCCCCTGGTCGGGCTCAGAGCAGGGCCGATTGGGGAGTTGGGGCGCTGCCCCGTTATGCACAGAGCAGGGCGGATCGGGAGGTTGCGATGCCACCCTCAGTCACGCTCAAGGTAAGGCCGATTGGGGGGTTGGGGCACCGTGCCCTGTCACGCTCAAGGCAGGGTCGATGGGGAGGTTGTGGCGCCACCCCCTGTCACGCACAGAGCAGGGCCAATCAGGGGGTTGAGGCGCTGCCCCCTGTCACGAACAGAGCAGGGCCCATCAGGGGGATTGGGACTCCGTACACTGTCACGCATAGAGCAGGGCCGATCAGGGGGTTGAGGAGCTCCCCCCTGTCACCCACAGAGCAGGCGGATCAGGGGGTTGGAGCGCCACCACTCTCACACTCAGGGCAGGGCCGATGGGGAGGTTATGGCTCTATCCCGTCACACACAGAGCAGGGCCGATCAGGGGGTTGGGGCGCCGCACCCTTTCACACACAGAGCCGCAGGGCGATCAGGGGGTTGGGGAACTCCCCCCTATCAGGCAAGAGCAGGGCTGATCAGGCGGTTGGGGCGCCTTCCCCTGTCACGAACAGAGCAGGGCAGATAGGGAGGTTGTGGCCCCGCCCCCTGTCACACACAGAGCCGCAGGGTGATCAGGGAATTTGGGCACTGCCCTGTCACGCTGATCCCGATGCTGGGAGGCATATTACCCTTTTACCATGTAGGATAGAGGCCTGGTGCACGGGTGGGTCCCAGCTGGTTTGCCCTGAAGGTGTCCTGGATCGGGGTGGGGGTCCCCTTGGGGTGCCTGGCCAGCCTGGGTGAGGAGATGATGGCTATTTGCAGCTGGTCACACACCCTTCAGGGGTGCCTGGCCAGTCTGGGTGAGGGGCTGAGGGCTGTTTTCAGGCTGGCGGGTGACTGAAGCTCCCAACGGCTCCTTTTTTTTCTTTTTTTTTTATTCTGGGCCAGCTTTAGCTCTGGCTCCAGCTCTGAGGCCTCTGCTGCTGAAAGCAGGTATCTGGTTTGTTTGGGTTCTACAATTGAAACACTGTATCAACTCCAGCTCTGAGATCCCGGCGGGCTGAAAGCAGGTTTCTGGGGTTTTGTTTAGCTTCTATATTTGTAAGAATGTTTCAAACTGCAAGCTCAGAGGCCGGCAGCGGCAGGCGGGGAACGTTGGTTTCCTCCGTCACTGAAGCAAGCAAACCTCATGTTAACTTCAAGCTGCCTGGCTGCCAGCCGCCATCTTGGCTGGCAGTTAATTTGCATATCTCGCTGATTAGCCAATGGGAAGGGTAGCGGATGTATGCTAATTACCATGTTTCTTTTTTTTTAGATAGGATATTTGCAATGAAATACACTGACATTTAAAAAATTTTTCTTAAGTACTCCCAGGAAGGATGGCACTGAATAAACTTGAAGGCAACCCTTAAGACTATTTTTACAGATATTTATGATCTTGTCTCACAGCCAGAGTTTATCTTTATTTTGTCTCTGCCTCCCTTTTCTACCAGTCTTTGTTGTTTATGCCCTACCCTCATGCCAGATTCTCTACTCCTTCCTTGCTTAGAAACAGCACTTGTCATGAAGGACCATCTAGCAATTGCACTGATAGGAATCTTCCCTACAAACATACACAACAATGGCCGTGTACATATTAGAGCACTATTTAAACAGAAAAAAAGGGGAGAAAGGGAACAACATGAAAGACTAGAATACGGAATGAGTAAATTCCATTTCCAACCAAGAAAACCTTTAAAACAGGGAGTTAAAGCTAAACGTATTACTTCATCAAGACATCAAAGACAGAATTTTAATTTTATTTAAAAAATGTAAAACAGCCTACCTAGTATAGTCAATTATTGTGATTTATAAAAAGCATCTTAAATGATAAAAGACTAATATACAAACTTTGCATGCCCTCAGCACACAGCTCAGCATCCAGTGCCTAAGAAGCCCTCAAAAACTACTGCTGCTAGTCTTGACAAAATACCTCATTAATGTGTTCTGTGGGGTAAAACGAAGGTGAAATACTGTCTTTCCCTGAAAACATTAACTGAACACAGTTAACACAACACAGCTACATTTGAAAACGCATATCAACTGTGAACCCTGACACAAACATTTAAGAGTGATAAAACTACTAGGATGTTAGAAACATAAACACACACTCCTCGAGGGTAGAGTGATATATGCTCTGTGATCACACCACTTATAGCGCTGACACACATCACATTTTAGTTTACTTTGTGCCTATTTCCCCTTTTGGATAGGGAAATCCTTGAAGACAGTGGTGACGTTCAGGATCTTTGTTTTCAGTAGCTGACATACAGAGCTTAATATTTACTTACAGGATTAAATAATACTAAGGAATTGCAGGCTATCAAAGACACAAATAGAACACTCACTATACCAAACACCTACTGACCAGAACTGATGGAAGATATGCTATTCAAGGCAACAATCAGGGCAAAGAAAGCTTTTAAACTCGAAATCAGAAATGGATTTTTCTAATTGCCAATGAAACCTTGGCTTTTTCTCTTCAGATGGAAGCTAGTCCAACATGCACAACTTATGATGTTATTAACACAAATTTCCATGTAGTGGACCCTCAACACTAGGAAGATGCTTCACCAAGCAGATAAGCCAGTTGTCCAGAGGAAAGGCAGTGGGAGAAAGCATATCAGGTCAGTTTCTATTTTCATGTGTTACTCAGACTATAGAGAGAGAAAAAAAAAAAATCCTCCTTGAGCAAATAAGTTCCTTCCATACAAGGGAACCCATTAGTCAATAATCAAGTTTTTTGTTTGTGTTTTTTTTTTGCAGATCAGGAAAGAGTTGGATGATATAATCAAAGGGCTGAAAGAGAAAAACATGCCAATCCAGCATACTTAATCTGAAAAAACTCTCCTTCAGAAATGGTGAAATAAAGAATGTCCCAAACAAACAAGAGTTCAGGGAGCTCATTACCATTTTTTCTGCCTTCCAAGAAATGTTAAAGAGAGTTATCCAAATTGAAATGAAAAGACAATAATTAGTAACCTTAAGACCTAAATATATGAAATTCACTGATAAAGGTAAGTATATAGTCAAAATCAAAATATTCTAATAATCTAATGGTGGTGTATAAATCACTTAACTCTAATGTAAAAGTTAAAAGACACAAGTATTAAAATATGTACAGCTGTTACAAAATTCCAGGGCAGGAGGAATAGGGAAACTGAGACAGTAAAGTTAAAACAAGGACAAATAGTGTGGGTAATCTGCAATCAGCTTGTAACTAACAAACCATTATCTTCCCCAGTCAAGGAGCCAAGGACACAGAATAAATGGTTAAAAAACCTCCCAAATGAAAGAATACAGAAAGGCGGGGGGGGGGGGGGGGGGGCGGGCGGCACAATTTTACTTCCAGAAAAGCCAGCAGTCTCAAGGCTTGGCAAAATCTAGTTGTCAGGTGCTTCTCATGATTTCTGGAAATGCCAGAACAAAGTAAAAAAAAAAAGAGGACCTTGAGAATTAATTTGTATCAAAATATTTGGCAAAGGAATTTTGAGACCTATAGATAGGAGGGTATACAATGCCTCGGACCCCCTCCCAATCTGCTCGTCGATTAGCTAGAGCCTGTCTGTGTTTCATGAGCCAGGTGTTCAGGTTTGCTCGCTTTGCTTTTTTCAATAAAGGTTGCATGCTTTAATCAACTGGCTTTTCACAATGCAGTCAGGGTCTTGTATAGATTCATTTATATGAGAAGACAAGGATCGAGGTTGGGGACAGCCCTCTCCCACTGACTCAGAGGGCTGGCCTGTACAGTAACACCTTTCATCCAGAAGTCCATTAAGAGCAAAAAAGTGGAATTTCAAAATGTGATTTTTAAAAATATATCTCAAATATTTACACCCACTATGAAGAGCGTTATGTAGATAACCCAAAATTTAATAATTCCAAAACTATATTATTTCAACATCCTCAAGGTATTCTGATTTAAAAATCTGTATAAAAAAAATGCTACAAACATACAAGTAATATTTAAAATTATAAAATACATATCTCGAGACTTTTGTTTGGATAAACAAGCTTGTTAAATTAATGGAATAATCAGGGATTAATGTACACAGAATTAAAGTCCTAATTCTTAGAACAAGTATCTGAGAAAACTGTGAAAATTTAATTTACTGCTAGTTATATATGGAGTATTTAATTCAGAAGACTTCTGTTTAATTTCATCTGATTAATTTTTTAGAAGCCTCTTAAAAACCAGGAAAAAAATAATATAAAAAGCTGCAATAACGTACTGAAAATTTGTCAAAGCCCAGTAACTAAAAGAGCAGTCTACACAGATTTTGCCTCTGAAAAATAGGAGAAATGTAACACCTTCTGAGATGTCAGTTTCATATCTGTTCATAGAATGTACGACATCCAAGAAAGCAATTACCCAAAGGGAAAAGTAACAAAATTCAGTAATAAACTGCTAAAGCAAAGCTCTTGTGGTTTAAATAAAAATAAGAAATCCCAAATAGTTTATGAAATCAAAGCACCAGGAAAATGA